TTTTAGGGGAAACAATAAACTTTAGAACGAAACTATATCCACTTTCGAACTGTAGTTCAAAGCTCGGCAGTAAAACTTCTTTTCGAAATTAATTTCTCAAAAACATATCAAAAACTTGCGTATTAATTTGTTTGATAGCATAGTAAGGTCTTCAGCTCAGCAGTCAATTTTTCTGAAAGAAAATAAAAACTGGGATAAATACATGGAATGATAGTCCACATTTTGTTCTTTCGAATACAACACGATTTCAAAATTGACACTCTCTTTTTTAGGCAAAATTTTTGAGAACTGTTATTAATCACTTCTTAAAAAATAGGCTTTTCAGAAAAAAAAACGGAAAATGCCTTTTGTTTTTTCTTATATTATACTTTTTCAAACGCGTAACCCAAATTTCTTTGTCCAGGCTCATTAAATATGTTTAATTTAATTTTTTGTTTGAAAGAGCATGTCAAAATGCAGGGCACCCAGGTTTAAAATCTACGATCGTACACGACCGTATACAAAAAAAATACGACGAATAACGATGGTCGTATACGATTGTTGTATACGACCATCGTATACGACGTTATACGATTATATACGATTGTCGTAAACGACCACTGAGTACGACCATCGTAAACGACACTCGTATACGATCGTATTTTGGTCGTATATTTTTCTCGTATATAGTAAGATAGCTGGATAGTGCTATATATGTGTCACTTTTTGTTACAAATTATTGATTTGGTTTATATTTTCTATTTTACATAATCTTTATGCAATATACTTTCTAATTATTAACAATGAGCTGGCTAGACTCTTGTTATATTTATTGTGACGGGAAAGTGTGGACAATCTCTTTTTTTGTTTTTATTCTGGATTCTTTGCTGAAAAATGCTGCCTTGCATGTTCCATAGGCCACAAGAAGTAAAATCATCATTATATCAATCAAAAATAATGTAGAGATGTTTGACTAAAAAGATGACTTTTTCAATCTATCACATTTAAGATTTAATTTTTATTAGATATATTAATAAAGATATGCATCTCGACTTTTTTCTTTACAATCGATTTTGTATAATAACTTATGTGTTGCTTATCTTAAAAATTTTATATAACTAGTTAGAGCAATATTATATATAAAAATTATGCTCACAAAAAAACTGTATCGAATAATTTCATAAAAAAGTTTTGCCTCTATATTTGGAGAACACTTGATATTATACGACGCGTAACGTCTTTTTTCATGTTTTCATTTTATGTATTGTCTCGAACGATTGCATTATTATCTATACAGAATAATACTTAAAATAAACATATATTATAATTATGAAAAATCGCTTAAAACCATAATAAAACGCCTAAAATTGCTCCATTTGCCACACACAATACTGATCATATACAGGTGTTTGCAAAAAAACTTGCACATCTTTTTATACGGCTATTATCTTATATAGATGTCCTCTTCAAATCGTTTTATATTGTAGTTGATAGCCCACGAAGAGTACTATAAAGCAGTACAATTTGATATTCCCTTTGGTTACCTTTAGAGGAAATAGAAAAGAAAAATCTTTTTTCTTGAACAAGGCAAAATTATTTACAACACAAATTTCAACATTTTTAACTTCTTCACCTGAAAAATGATGGGGTTCACCATTTTTTTTTGAATTTATTTTCTCAACATTATAGTTTATGGCTGACCGAAGATTCCTATGAAGTTAATATCCAAGGTATCAAATGAGTACTCGAGTATTTATGGTGTAATAATGTTAACGAGTTGTTCAATGATATGACTGATACATTTTCAGCCATTTTCCTCATTAGAAACGCCCTTGATGATAAAGCTTTTCTGCGGTGATATCGGTCTTTTAATCGCTTGCACCTAACAGCAAAAAAAATAGGTAACTTTCAAGCATATAAGCTTAATAAAGGCTATCAGAACTGCATCTCAATGTATAATAGACAAGACATCTTGATTTGCAATATGGTCGCATTCATAAACTTTTTTTTACTTTTACAGGTACATATTTCAGTTGTTCGTTTGGACATTTTGACCAACAACGGTTTATTTTTATCTGGTATTATTGTAATAAATAGTTCTTAGCAGAACACTTGTTTTACAATCAATCACACAGCTAGATCTTATGGCTTTGTTTCGACAGTATAATATTAATATATGCTAGATTTTCGAGAGAGTAGAAAGTAGTATAATCATATAAATTTATATTAAAAATAAGAAAACCCGGAGTTATCTATGGTGGTTATCTAGTATAACTATTGAAGAGTCAACACTAAAAAAATGACGCTTATAGTTCCTTCGAGCCATGGAAAAAACATTCTACGATAAAAAAAAATTTTGTGCAAGTTTTTTTGCAAATCACCCGTATAATCAATAATAGACAATTAGATATAAAATCACCAGTATGACCATATTTTGTGACTTGTACGGTCCGTTACAAGTATCGTAATGCTCGTCCTGGATGGTGCAGTATGTGTTGATTTCGAGAACTTTTATTTTTATCTCATTTTATGTTAATTACAACGACAGATCAAACAGTAGCTATTATTTTATTTTAATAAATTCTATTTTTATTCTTTGATTATCTGTAACAATAAATCAAGCAGTATGAATTTATTTGAACAAATTTTATGTCTCATTTTCAGACTATTTATAACGACAAATCAAACAGTGAGTATTAATCTATTTGAATAAATTTTTTTTTCTTATTAGATTATTTATAATGATATATCGAACAGTAAATAGTAATTTATTTAAATAATTTTTTTTTATTTTTAGATTAGTGAGAATGACAAATCAAATGGTAAATATGAACTTGTTTAGATAAAGTTTCTTTTTTTTTTTTAGATTATTTATAATGATATATAGAATTTATAATTATATATAGAATGGTAAGTCATTTTTTATTTAAATAAATTTTTTATTTTTAGATTAATGAGAACGACAAATGAAATAGTAAATATTAATGTATTTCAATCAATTTTATTTTTAGTTTTAGACTATTTATAATGATATATAGAATTTATAATTATATATAGAACAGTAAGTAACTTTTTATTTAAATAAATTTTTTTTTTCTTTTTAGATTAATTAGAACGACAAATCAAATGGTAGGCATGAATTTGTTTAAATAAAGTTTCTTTTTGTTTTTAGATTATTGATAATGATATGTCGAACAGTAAGTAATTTTTTACTGTAAATAATTTTTTATTTTTACATTAGTGAGAACGACAAATCCAATAGTAAGTATCGATTTACTTGAATAAACTTTATTTTTATTTTTAGATTATTTATAAATTTTATTTTTATTTTTAGATTATTTATAGACTTTATTTTTATTTTTAGATTATTTATAAATTTTATTTTTACTTTTAGATTATTTATAAACTTTATTTTTATTTTCAGATTATTTATAAATTTTATTTTTATTTTTAGATTATTTATAAATTTTATTTTTAGTTTTAGATTATTTATAACATATAAAAGTAAGTAAGTTCTTATTTCAATAATTTTTTATTTTTGGATTAATGAGAAGGACAAATCAAAATATAAGTGTTAATATTAATTAATGTGGGTGCCCAGCCTGGCTGGAAGTTTCATTTCTTTTGTCCCGATGTAGCTCCAATGATATATCAAATAAATATTAGTGTTTTAAAAGTTATAATAGTATAACTTTCAAAACACTAATGTTTATTTGATATATTATTGGAGCTGCATCGGGACAAAAGAAATGAAACCTCCAGCCAGGCTGGGCACCCACATTAATTAGTTTTTGTGTTATTTTGAGAGTGGAGGGGAGGGGGAGGGTAAATTGGAAAACCTTATGTGGAATACGGTAACAAACGACATTGTATACGACCATTTACGATCGTTTACGGTAGTCGTATAGACGTCGTATTTCGCCGTATACGACACGACGATATACGGTCGTAATTCTGGCGGCAAGTAATACGGCGAAATACGGTCGTATACGATCGTAATGTACGCCGTATACGACCGTACACGATCGGATACGACGTCGTATACGATCGTTTACGACTGTCGTAATCCTCGTCCTGGGGCATTACACAAAGTACTTTTTTAAATTAAACTTTGTTTTTTATTATTATACATGCGAACACTTTTATGAATGGACGTCCCTTTTTACCAAATTTTTTTGAATTATTCAGCTTATGATCCATTTTCTCCCCTTAAAAAGTAAGAATTTACAAAAGAAGGACTCCGTGGTGTTCTACATTTTGACATCCTCTTTCAAACAAAAAAATTCGTAATGTGTGGAAAGAGTCCAGACAGAAAAAAATGGGTTGCGAAGTGACCCTTTTTTGCTCTCATTTGATCCATATCTCTATCAAAACGTCATGGTATAGGGCTGAAAATTTTGCCACACCGTCTTCAACTTGGGGCCAACGTGCTTTGAAAATTTCCGAAGAGTTGCATATACTCGATCTTGAAATTGATTTTTAAATGAGGAGGCTTTAAAAGTTTGAGTTGTATTATGTTTTTATCGAGAGCTATGAGCGCAACAACGTCAATTTTTTGGAGAAGCAATAACTTATCGCTTCTCCAAATTTTCTTAGAAGAAATAATTGTGCATATTATTTTGCTAGTGTATCGCTTAAATCCATATAAGTAGTAAAGTTACGCTTAGATTATCTATAAAATGGAGGTAGTTAGGGAAAGCAATTGCTTCCCTTCGCTACTACGGCGCGCCGCCTATGGGCATATAATTTTTTTTTTTTTTTGTTATTATAAATAAACACTTAGTTACATTTTGATCTCGAGGGTTCAGTTGTTTTTTGCACTCCGTACTATTCGTTAAAATTTACTTTTTTGTGCTACTTCACCTTCATCGATTATGATAATATTAATACAAAAGCAGTTCATATTCTAATTTTGATATTATGAAAACATAATTTAATATATTCATTTTTTGACAAAACACAATACAAACACAATACAACATCAAATAAGTTTTCAATTGTTTTTCTCGCATTTCCTTCATTTATGTCATTGTTGCTACTACCGTATTTGTTCGTCCATTGACTCTTCTCATAAGAGATGTTCGAAGTGGATCAGTAAACTTAAATAAAGTAATCATCACAAATGCTAATGATACATCGATAAATATATAAGCAATACGAAAACGATATTTTGGTGGATTGGTGAAAAATGACATGATGATAATTACTGTATACGGAATACCAAATGCTAATAACATTATTACAAGTATAACTGTACGTTGAACCATTCTTAATTCTTTTTCTGCGCGAGCTAATACATTAATAGGTGTTACACGTTTACTCATTTGTTTTACATATCGAACTAATTTTAAATAAATAAGCATAATCAGGGACACGGGAATTATATAGATACAAAATGCCGCATAAATTATAGGGAAAGCAAATCGAAGAGGTAATTGACATATTTGATTGTCGACATTGTAAATAACGCTATTAGTGAACATAAATGCAATAGGAAACACAAAACTGAATATCCATGTTGAACAAATTAATAAAGCTTGAAATCTTGCTGATTGCCAGAATAAACGAAATGGATAAACAACAGTAATATATCGATAGATAGATTGTAATAGAAATGAATAATCGAACAGAGCACATGAAGCATAAGAAAAATAACCTCGTAAAATACAAAATGAATCTTCATATGAAATTTGTTTAACATCATTTTCAAGTGTAAATATACATATACTCAATAAACTACATCCTACTATAATTGCACTTAAACATGTATTGGCAATCATCATCATTGGCACTGTATGACATGTTTTATCCAGAATAATAATACATAGAAAAAGAATACTAAGCATAATAGCCAAGCTAGTACATACAACCATCAAAACATCAAAAGGGATAAACCATGACTCAATGGTTATTATAGTAGAGTTTTTGACAACTATCGATGATTCCATGAAAGAAGTTGAATTGATTGTTCAAAAACAAAATGAAGAAATGAAGAAAGTAAAAGTTTTGAAGTTAATATATATGAATGTTTTATCTATTAAATAAGTCATGCACACTATTTTAATAAGTGCACGGTTTCCTTCAGGGATTGATACGACACTTTTCTCTTTTTATCTGACAAGCAAGAGTGTCAGAGAAAATCTAATAGATTTAATTTTTTTTCACAAACCTGCTGAATGATGATATAATGAGTTGTTTGACTAAATAATCTGAACATTTTATGTAATTAAAATTAAATTAAAAACAAAAAGCATTCAATATTATCGAATAGAACTCTAAGACATAGAAATATTTCTCAAACAGATATTAGAAATAACGCAAACTGAGAATAACTAAAGAAAGAATGATTTCGAAATGATCCATCGAATATTGTTTATATGATATATTAAAATGAACTGAATAGTTTTTGAAAAAACAACTAAGAACATTAAACTAATAGTTGAGAATAAATATAAAGAATGAGAAAGGATAGAAAAGTTTATTCTAAAAGAGAAGAATATAATTAAAACTTCTTTCAAAATATTTTCAATATAAAAGTAGGGAAACATTAAGATGTTTTTGTCATGCCCAGATATGAATCATCTGAATAATAATGATGTCTTTAACTAATCGAGACAGATTATTTTTTTATTTTTTTATTTTTATTAACCTAGATTATTATGAGAAAAAGTAAAACTATTGAAGAAAAATGGCAAAAAAAGAAATACTCATTTATATATGCTTGTTCTCAAAAAGAGAAATCGAAGTTGTAAAATAACATAATTCTAAATGATAACTTTTTCAAATGTCAAATTTATCATTCGAATGTTTGCATAATTTTATAATCGATAAGATTGATATGAATAATCAACTAAAATATATAAAATAAATATTTCAATTGAAGATAAGAATCTTTTTCTCAATATCATAATTCAGAATTAGAAATAATATCGATGTATTCTATAAGAAGATCAACACAATATCTTTTATTAATATCATTTATCATTCTTTGATAAAATTCAATCTGTGAAGAAGGATTCTCTTGTTCATTTAGTTTTTAATTCATCATTTTAATCATTTATAGAAAAAAATAAATAAATCACTTGTATTTCGAATTAATACAAAAACAAACACAAAACAAGATAAAAATTCTTTTTAATTTTACTAATTTATCTCACTGCTGCTATTACCATATTTGGTTATTTATATATCTTCTTTATTAGGGACGTTTTAAGTGGATATGCACATGGAGATAAAACAAATATTATAAGAGCCATTCCACTTAAGCCACGACCAAAAGTGCTCAATCGATGTGCTCCGATTTGGCTCATTTCAACATATGTGACAGAGGCAAATGTTTGATGAATTTTGGTAAAATCCGATTCGAAAAATATTGAACCATTCATTTTTTATCGCATTTTTGCTGAAAGCATTATAAAATCACTATAAAGCTCACTTTCAGGAAGGACGATTTTGGACACCGGAAAAAATCAACAAAATACCTACCGTTTGAGCTAAAATTTTTTGCACATCAATGCCTAAGTAAGTTCTAGATGTACCATAAATTTCAGCTCGAACGATTGAGTGATTGGTATTCTACGGATTCCATAATATGAAGAAAAATCACTTTTTTGACCAACTTTTGCTGCTGATATCTCCAGATTGAAAAATGATGGAGACCTGAAATTTTGGATATCAGCATATCTCAATGCTATCTACCTACTATATAAATGTGAAAATGAAACTTCGGCTATGACTGAGAGATGACACGCTTTCCTTGGTGAGACATGCAACTACGATTTATATGTTTCTCTAATAAATTAACAAATGCTGTTTATTTTCTTTGAATTGCAGTTAAAGACTATAATTATGATATTAGTTGATACAGAGAATAATATTAAACGAAAACAGAGTGATCATTCCTATTTATATGTATTATCATGACAAATTAATATTTTGCATTACTAAACAATCAATTTAATCAATATTTAAATTAAGTGTATTTTTAAAAAATTTGCATATATTTCAAATTTTTCTCTAACTAGAAATACATGTTTGTATTAATAGTACTAATCAAAAGATTTTTAAATTTAAACCAAACGTTTATATCACGTTTTAGTCAAACTATTCAGGAAAAAAAAGCATTAAAGATGTTATATAAATGCTCTAAAAACACACACGAGTTGATGATTTGTGTCAAATCTACATGAGAGATATTAGTTATTCATCTATTCGACTACTACAATTAGGAATTCATCAAAGCCAAACAGTTAAGTTTGACCTAAATTTCAATCATTGTCAATTAACTAAGAAAAAAAAAGAAATAAATCGATTGAAAAAAACAATGTAACAACTAAAAGACTGCAGAAATCTCCGAGAAAACAGCAATCCTAGACAAGAATAGACGAACTAATCGAATCTTTTTGATGCTTTCACAATAGATCAAGTCATTCGAGAAACATTTCAATATTTATCAAATTACTGAACATTGTCGCAATCGTTTGAATAGCAGTAGTGAATCTAAAATTTCGAAAAAGTAAAAGGACCATGGATGGTTATTAAGACACGTTTTGAAGTTCATTAAAGATCATATCAACTCATTTTTGAGCGTTTTTTGCTTAGAAAAATCGAAAAATTTTCCAGAATGGAAGCATGATCATTTGCAGTGCTCCTTTCAAATTCATCACTGTTGGATAGTTACAGAATCAGAATGATTCAGTGTATACCCAATTACAATGTCAACAAAAATCACAACTAATATCTAAATATTTATCTGTGACATAATCTAATATTGAAGTATTCTGAAGATGAAACATCTAGTTTATTCTAATATACAGGAAATAACAAAAAGAAAAACTAATAATAAAGTATTGTTAAGCATCATTAGAATTATTTTGATAACCAAGAATACGATATTTAAGATCCTAGAAGAGAAAACAAATAATAAATAACCACTAGTTGAATACTCTTACTTCGACCATTTTATGTGTTTGATTAACTTTGAACCAGCTGCTAACATTCCTGTATAAATATTTTTAGCTGTTGCAATCATATCTAAACAAAGACAAATATTTAAAATGAAACAAATAACTTCTGATTTACCTTCAGTAGAAACACTTAAGCTATTTGTTTGTGAACGTTTTTCACCACAATCTAAAACATCTTGACATTGTTTATAATTTATTTTAATATCTTCAACTTTTTGTATCAAATAACTAAAACAAAGAAAATAATATTCTGTTGAAATAAATAAATAATTTACTTATCAACAACACGATCTTGAATATCAGCACTTAATGGAAGTGATCGGAGATATTTACAATAGTTGCATTATAAAGTTTCTAGAAAAAAAGAATTTTTTTCGGATGAAAAGAATGAATAAAATACTTGTTGATATGCTTGATTAATTTGAGCAAATGCTACTTCATCTTTTTGAACATCACTTTGAATATATAAAACATGTTGTTGAACATTAACAAATTTGCTTGTTAATGTATGTTCCATATCAGTTAATCATTGTTCGGTTTCAGATAACATTGTACTAAAAATATTGCTTTTTTTTTTCTTTTTTAAATAAAAATAAATTTACATAGAATATTCAACAAGATCATTTAATTGTGATAATAATTGATCCATTGGATCAGATGATTCTGTTGGTTTATGAATAATACTTGTAGAACCATTAAACAAAAAAAGGCATATTTATTATTTATTTTCATTAAATCCAGTGGCGTACCGAAGGGGAGGGGGCAGGGGGCCCGGATCCTCCTTGGATAAAAATTCCCTGTGGGACAGTACGGGTGAAAAAATTGTGTCACAACTTTTATTAAAAGTCCACTGCGGGCCCCCTCCTTAGAAAGTTGGGCCCCTCTCTTGAAAAATTTCTGCGCACGCCACTGATTAAATCTAACCGAGTGTTTCTGTTGTATATAAATTACCTGTACTTATAGTTGGTACACTAGTTGTTGTTGCGGCTGTAGTAAGTGTTGGCATACTTGACTAAATAAAAAAAGAAGAATAATGAGAATAGATACAATTAAAAATTAAAATATTATATTACCAATGTAGGCGTACAAGTACTTGCAGTACTTGTTCTAGGTGCTACAAATCCGATTGTTCTTGTTGTTGTAGATGAAGTTGGAAATGAAAATTCTGTGGTTGCTGTAGTAGATGCAGCAGCGGTCGTAGCAGGTGTTCCCAATAAAAATGATGGAACAGTCTACAAATTTAATAACTTTGAATTAATAATGAAAAGAAAAACTTCATTTTTCATTTTTTGCGTAACCGTTAAAAAAGAGAAAATTAATTAAGGTAAAGAATGGTTAATAATTACTGTCAGAGCAGCAGTAGTGGTTGTTGTTGTTGCAGCAGTACATTGAGCAGTAAATGTATTTGGTGGATCTTTATGAACTTCATCTGATTTATGTGGTTCCTGAGCATTAGAAACATTAGCAGTTGGTTGATTATAATTAAAACCACCAACGAAGCTATGTACCACTGGACCACAATTAGAACCTGTTTGATTGATTATAAGATTATTGATCGTCTATAAAAAGAAAAATGAAGAGAATAGAAATTGCCATGAATGAACAATATTTCTAATAAATAAAAATCTTATAATGAATAAAATTTTAAAAAACCACTCACTATGGATCCATTTGAAAGGGAACGTAATTGATTCAATAACTGTACTACATTTTCTATAGTTGAAGCCTCCATTGAACAAGAAAAATTTATTATTAATCAAATTAAAGGTATATATGAACGCTAACAATATTTTATAGGGCATGCGAAAAAAAGAAAAAAATTCATCTCGTCCGTATTGACTAGGTACACATTCTAACAGACAAGTCTGATGGAAGAAAAAGAAAGGAAAACAAACAATAACCATTCTCATCCTCACCGTCAAGATTATATAAGGGTCAGAATGGGAATGGTTACTTTCTTATTTATAGAAGAGAAAAATAGTACATAAAAATGAAGACGATTTCGAGCCAGAATTCTTTGATGTTGCTGTTGCATTTGTTCCTGTTGGATTTTTTGTTGCATTTGTTTCTGTTGGATATATTGTTGTTACATTTGTTCCTGTTGGATTTATTGTTGTTGCATTTATTCCTGTTGGATTTTTTGTTGTTGAAGAATCCGAGACTGGTTTTAATAAATTCATGGCTTCTGTTGATATTTGTTGTGCTACTTCCGGTGCTATATAATGTGGCTCGTTCATTAAATGATTACATCTAAATAATATATTCTATTTAATTAAAAGTATTTTCATCCACATATCAATATTTACAAATCTTCAGCCTTGATGTTTTTTTTCACACAGATAATTTTTTTGTCCTTCATAGGAAATGGACACTTTGCAACGAGTTTTTGATCGCTCATATCTGTAGAAGAAACAATTAGTATTCTGGATAGTAAAATCAAAGAAAGAAAAATGAAATGATTAGGTCATTGTTGGCCAAGACGAATTAACAAAGAAGGTCCTTTGATTTGCTTTTGAATAAATAATTAAAAATACTTCTTAGCACTGATAAGTGGCGCTATTCGCGCCATCGAAGTATTTAAATGATATTCTATATAAAACATATTAATAATTGAATTAAGAAATAATAAAAATTGTTAATATTTCAGCTTGAAAACATATTTTCCTTATTATCTGAAAATTCTGCGAAGAGAATCAGTCTTAAATTGTGATTGGTAGTTACACTCTAAGTTAAAATGTGTCGGATATGTCGTGATTTACAACACATTTCACGACACATTCAAGCACGACACGAGGTGCTCGTTGCGACACATTTTCTCCAGCAAGCGTACGACCCATTATCCCACGACACATCTGACACATTCTGAAATCACGGTTCGAGTCTAGATTTCACCGTATCTATATATTTTTTTCTTTCATGCATTATATCCATCAATATTTAATTAGTACAATTAACATCAGTGTTTGATGCAATACCGTAAAATAGCCAGACTTTGAGATCCAGCCTTGTAAGGCTAGTCAGATCTTGGTCAGACTACTGCCAGGTAGACCTCTCCTAAAGCGAGGTCATTATTTCTCGAAATATTTACGAGAAATATATTATATAAAATGGTGCACGAAAACTAGTGATTCTCATGTGATGGTTCAGATCCATTATATATAGATAAACACGCGAAACAATATGGTGAATGAACAGTCGTCATATATGTACAGAACGGTTAAAAATGTGACACATTAAAGTGCAACACATTTTCTTGCTGCTACCCACGACACTATAATTCACGACGGAAAAAGTCGACACATTTTAACTTAGAGTGAGATTCTCCCAAAAAAAAAATGCTCATATATAAAACGAATTTGTCTTATTCTTTCGTTTTGATATCAATCGAAAAATAAATTATGACCACACCAATGCAACATGATCGTCGAACATCCACGAATCAAAAAACAGTTGGGTGTGGGTGTGGGTGTGGGTGTGTGGGTGTGGGTGTGTGGGTGTGGGTGAGTGTGGGTGTGTGGGTGTGGGTGTGGGTGTGTGGATGTGGGTGAGTGTGGGTGTGGATACGTTATCATCACCCACACCCACACCCTCCCACCCACACCGACACCCCACACCCACACCCACCCACACCCACCCACACCCACCCACACCCACCCACACCCTCCCACCCACACCGACACCACACACCCACACCCACCCACACCGCCACCCCACACCCACACCCACACCCCTTTTTCATGCCCTATGTTCTTTATTTTCTTTGCTTTCTAATTTATTTTTCTAATATGTGTACGTACATGATGTATACATTAGGAATAAACAGTCATGACCGATTTCGTCCCCGCTTAAGGGACTCATCAGATGGCTTTATTCAAATTCTTCATCACCACGAGACGACAACGAAATTGCAATCAACCCTTAGAATAGAGGAGATACAGTATTAAAATGTATGACTATATCAAGACCATACCATCGAATGACTCTTAAGCAAGGTCGAAACCAGTTATCACTGCTCATTCTTAAGATAGTTACTCAGTCTCTTTCTTTCTGTTTATTTATTTATTTATTTATTACTATGGATGAAATCTATTTTCTTTTTGTTCGCTCAGTTTTTTTTGTACTCTTAAATATATAGAATCTGTGATTATTTCTTTAGAAATAATTAGAAGAAAGATTTCTATGTTTGTTAAACTAAAAGAATAACAGCTAAGACTATAGAAAACCTATTTGAAATTAAATTGATCTTCAAAACTCTTTTAGAATAAATAGAATTTGATCAAGCTAAGCATGATTATCCAAGGAAATAAAACATGCTTGTGTACTTATCATAGACAAAACAAACGTATTTGAGGGTTAGACAATGTTTCGATCGATGGCAAAAATGTATATTTCAAGTGAAAAAAACAATGACGCCTGGATCGAAAATGATCATTTCTCATGAAAGTCTAAACTAAACAATAACATCATTACATATAAACGACATTTTTTCCGATAGGAATAATCTTTTAGAATAATGGAATAATGTTTGTATCTAGTGGAAAGTTACTTCACTCTTTTACTTATATACATATAGACGGGTTTAGGACAGTTGCTCGCAGGACACTTGCTCGTCGGACAGTTGCGCGCGGAAAGTTGCTCGCGAATCATATAGTCACAAGGAGGAAAAAGCAAAATTTCTGGGCTTCAGTCGTACTTCACCACATTTCAACCAACTTGAAGGATTTTTAAAGCTATCTCCGAAATGTTTTTCGCTTTTTAAGTCTATCATAGATGTGTGTTACAGAAGTACTGGTTTGAAATCATTCGATATGAATTTATCCTAAATAAAAGCTCAAATACTTTACGATACTTCGTCAAACTTTACAATTTGAACTATGGCAAAGCACCTTGTGCTAAGGAAATTTTGTTTTGTCTTCTCTTGTATAGCTACCTAGTGGTAATGGGTAGCTGAGGAAAATGTAAAGAGAAAATTCAGGCATCTATCCATACTCTCATCCTGATGTTCGGTCGTCGATCATCAAAGCGAAAGAACGAATTCTTGAGCAAATACCTGAAAGACCTGGTTCAAAATACACATACGGTCGTCAGGAATTATTTAGAATACATTCGATGTTTTTCTATTTAGAACTTTTTTGGTCCTCTCGTATTTTTTATTTTTGGTTGTTGTCCTTAAAGCTTATTTTTATATCTTATTCATATATACACAGCGAAGTAGTTTTGCGAGCAAGTATCCGACGAGCAATTGTCCTGCGAGTTACTGTCCTTTTCGAGCAAGTGTCCAGACGAGCAAGTGTCCTAGCGAGCAACTGTCCGCGCGCAACTGTCCGACGAGCAAGTGTCCTGCGAGCAACTGTCCGTTTCCCATATAGACCTGCACAGTCTGGCTAGATATACCAATACATTTTTTCGTACATGTAACTTCTATAATCTATCAGATAACTACGATTTTTTTTGCGAATATTAGCATTTAATTGATGCCAATGATCTGTCACAAATGAGAGGTCTATATCTGATATGAAACCAAAAGAATCAAGTATCTTCAAAAACTCTCTTGCTATTTACGACAGGTTCTGCAAAGACAATTGATCATTTTGGTTTCATATAAGATATAAACCTCTCATTTGTTAGAAGCTGCATGTACGAAAAAAAAGTATTGGGGTATCCGGTCAGACCAATATAATATATTATAATGTAAAGCAATCATTTTAAATATAAATTCAATAATCTCTATACTTCTTTTATAGTTGTTATTATTAATATTAAATAATGAATTAAAAATTTCATTGCAGCAATATATGTTTTTTGTGAAACTCACATATATGTATTTTCAAAGAAACTAGTGAGTGCAAGTTTTAAGTCGAGATTTTATGGCTTCCTCTCGCTTCCCTGTTACAGATACCCTTCATTGCAGACAAGCGAGACATAATAAATGATTGCTGCGGTTTATAGCCGTTGAACTTTATCCAAAGCTTCGATGCAAACATATATTCATAAAACTAGAGTAATAATATTTAAAAAAATCTCACAGTATCATAGCTCCTAAGTTATATAAATATGTGAGTCCCATATTTTAGCTGCAACGGGGCTGCACTGACAAACATTTTTATGAAAATGTGATAATACATCATTCTGATTGGAAAAATCGTAAAGATGAACATTTTCTTCATTATATGCTCTAATTTATTTTATGACAGTATTTGAAATAAAAATAAAGAAAGTTGTTCGAACACTTTCTATATAGAATTAAAATGTGAAATACGATGAAACTGCATACATACGAAGTGAAAAAATTTATCAACATAAGTTTCGATTTGAAAATCGCTACCTATTGCTGATATGTATCGATGCTAAAAAGTGTTAATCATAATATGTAACTATGAACATAAAAGAAAGACAAAAGACAAATATTCTAAATTTCGTCGTGTTTCATAATAATTTCTCACACTTGTTCATAAGACAATTTAAGGATATATGTATAACTAAAGCCCATTGTTGATCACAATTTGGTTTGTGAAACGGACTCTTCTAGATTGCAGACAACTTTGCTAATTGAAAATGAACAGCTAGACTCTGTGGAAACTGTATAAATTCATACTTTTCATTGAAATGTGAAAAAAAAAGTAACGAAAGCATAAAAAGTTTAGTGCTCTCAATGGTACATGAAAAAACGTCATTTATTGAGAAGAATGAGTATTTTGTCTTTCTACAGTGTATTTAGTTTTCATCATCGTAGCCATATCACATTAATTTTCTAAGACTCGTTGATTTGTTTCTTGATTCAGACTTTTGTCACTTTAGATTCTTTCTAAAAAAGCAGCAGCAGTAATAACTATTACGACGAGCTATCTTGAGAATGGGTGTAGATGTAACTGCACTATATTGAATGAGTTAATAAGGAATACCAAACATATTCATGTTATTTACTGCTTCAATTTTAATCAATAAAAAAAAAGGCTACTTCGAAAATTGTGATGAATAGTCACTGAATTATAGAAGACGATTCATATCTTAGATCAAAATCATACCCACAAAAAATTAATATAATACACAGTTAATAACTCAGTCACTCATATGAAAAATATTTTTTAAATATATTATTATGAAACAATCTCTTTTTATTGTTCTCATATCTTTATATGTTTTGTTTTTGATAAACACTAGCGAAATATCGTATGCACTTCATTTTTATTTTATTAGAAAAATCAAGATGTCTAGTGGAAAAATACATGAAAGATATCGATTAAAAATGCGTGTCAATACCTATGATAGTTTTATAATAAAAGATTTCGAAATGCTCTTCGAGGAGAAGGTTGATGATGATTTTTTTTTATCTAGATGTATAGATTTATTTCAGATTTTTCTATTATTAACTTTCGTTATTTTCAATCAAAGTCTATATGCAGCTGATTATTGCAGTGAAGGGTTTTAGGCAAAAATAATTGATCTAGCCTAGAAGAAGATGCACAGTAGAAAGTTCAATTAAAAAGGAAAGTTAATCCAGCGCAAAAAAGACATGTAATACGGAATATCAAACAGAGGATCAATCTTCTATTCTAAATAAATAAAAAATATTGATATCAGAATATATATAATAAAAATTTTTCTTTTTACAGTTATGAAACATGTAGAAAGTTTCTTTTTCTGTAGACCAATTAGCAAAATCAATGATAGATTGGATTTTGTTCAAACAATAATTGTTTCTGAAATTTTCAATTGTATAGAATTTAATACTAAAATTCTAAATCCATTGAAAAGGTTTTTATTTTAATATGAAAAAAAAAAGAAGTAAAATTTTCGAACATTATTCAAAAATAAGATCTTTCAATTACTATTGAAAATTACTAAAAATTCTAAATTACAAAATAAAAATGCAAGGTTATAGTAAAAAACAAAAAGTGACTCTATTGAAAGACACATTTATTAACCACATGGTTTTTTAAATTGTAAAGCTCGTTGTTTATGCTCTTCTGCAAGTTTTAAACATATTTTCGCATGTTCTCGTAACTTGTTTTGTAAATCATTCCATAATCGTTCTAAAAGATCATCTCCATGATCAAATATCATCATTTTATCACAATAATCCATTGCCCATTCTGCATAAGCAGAAACCGATCCACAAAAAAGAAAGATTTCTATAATATTTGAAGATTCATAAATTATTGGAATAATTTCTTTAGCCAAGGAACCCGAAACAATTAGATAAATGAGTTCTTTTGAATGAGATTTAATGTATTCAATGCAATCATTAACATTTGTGAATGTTTGAGCATTGCCAAGTTTAGCACGAAAACTACTCATTGGATCGGACGAATTTCCATCAAGCCAAAGAATAGTATATTCCAACATCATTGTTTAATCTATTTGAGTTATATTTGATTGGAGAAAATATTATAGATCTTCTATAATTTTCAGACATATATATACATACATATTATGGGAAAGAATAATAATAGTGATGCCGCCTGCTCTTAGATAAATCCAAGTTTCTTTATCGATCCTTATTCATGTAGATATAGTGAGTCATATAAGGGTGTTTGCCAACCATGCGTCATCCATCAACATACATAATAATAAAATATTTGTCGTTCTTATTTTGATTATAGTTGTTCTTAAGTAAATAAAGAGTATAGGCATCTTGAAGAGAAATAAATGAGTCATTGTATACAGTCATTAAGTATACAAAGAATAATCTACGAAGAAAAACGTATATTTTTTGTTCTGTTTTATAACATTCGTCGATGATTCTTGAAACTTCTTCGTACTTCCTCAACTTCTAGATACTTCATTATGTACTTTAATACTTCTTCGTACTTTCTCAACTTCTAGATACTTCATTATGTACTTTAATACTTCTTCGTACTTT